GATCTTTGTAGCTCTCTATATAAGCTTCTAAAGAAATGGCCAAGTTCTTCAAGGAAAGATAGCTAGAGCTCATGAATCTTTGGTTAGCATAAGAATTTGTTACACGAAATGGAAGTGACAGCTCTCTAGCAGTTTCTTTTGCAACAGTGTGCAACTTCCCATGCTTAAACATTTGATGATACTGTGCTGTTCGCTTAAGTAAGCGCTCAACAAAGTCAGTATTCCTGTGAGCACTGAAAACTTTGTCTAGCCAGTGTGCTGGGTCCCACTGAACTGGCCACCAGAATTCATCTTTAATGTGGGACAAGTTGACAGAATTTTCATCTTCGTACGTCTGTATAGCTTTCATGATTGGTTCATTCATTGCAGCAACAAATGGAGTATTGATATACTGTCCATCAGTGACTCTTCCTTGAACCTGCATCCATTGATCTTCTTCTATACCAGCATTCTTCTTTAAATCATCAATGACAGCTTTAGCTAAATCGCTTCCACGACCAGTGTCTCCCTCTGAGTTAAAATAAACTGGAGACATGCTCAAAGGTATTCCTTGGCGAGCTCCATCTACTACTAGACACACCATAGTGACTTGGTTGACAATTCTATGATTAGTTGATTTGTCTGCTGTCACATAGAAATGTGGAGTCATACCTGTGTTTGGAAGAGGCATCTTTAGGAATCTTTTTGTTCTCATGTCAATGTAATTGCATGTGGCCTTTATCATTGCATTAAAGAGTTTTCTGGAGTGCCCATAGTCGCCAACATCAACTCCAGCAGCATATAACTCTGCTAGCCTTGTCTCATAATGTAGAGCTGCAGATTTTGATTTTACAACTCCCAATGCTGTCCTTAATTGGTTTTTTACTACCAATGACCGTCTTTTTTCTCCTTTTCTCAATAATTTTGCATGCTGTAAGGCCATTAGATGCCCCTCTGAGGACAAATGTTTCTGTAGCTTGAACTTCAAATCAAACCATTTTTGGCAATGTCCAAAACACAAGTTTGAATAGGTGTCAAAACTGAGAGTGAGTCCAGTTGCTAATGACCCAGCAGATGAAATATTACCTCTTCTCGATGGAGGTCTCTTGTCATATGGGCTTGCAATAAAACTGCTGCATGGGGTACATTTGAGAATGTGACCCATGCCTTCGTCTTTAATAACTTTAAAGTCTGGGAAGTTTTCCAAAAACTCATTTAAATTTGAGGAATTTAATTTCGTATCAACAGTACTGGATGATGTTTTTGGCCCATTCTTCTGAATTATTTTGGCAACCTTCTCAGCAATTAGATTGGCAACAGAGTCAAACGAACTTTCATCAGTACCAATTGATTGTTGTTTAGGAACTGCAGAGGGCAACAAAGATTCCAAAGTTTCCTGATACAGATCTGATTTCTTTGTTATATCCTCATTTGTTTCGAGATGAGTCCTGTAAGTAACATGAGAAAAAAGAAATTTGTAAGTCAAGCTCTATAAGAAAGGTCAACAAAATACGAGAAACAATAAAGAAGAATTTGGTATTCAAATGATAAACTTACATTGGCGATTTTGATAAAAATGTTGATTCTTCTGCCAGACTGGCTGTTAGCTCAGAGTCATTCCTGTTAAAAAGTTATATGCATAAATATTGTGCTGAGAAATTTTTTTCATCCTAGAATAAATTTTTGGAAAAAAATTAGGTTATATTTTAGCACATTTTACACATTTATATATTTGTTTGTGGGTACTGGTAAAAACATCCAAAAAAGGTCTCAATGTGGCTGCGAGGCACGTTTGCGAATTCTGATTGGCTCATGGGGTATGGAGGGTTTTGGTCGCTCAGCCAATTAAAGAGTTGGAACCCATGTTTGCTGAGAAGTCAATTAAAGAACAGGTGCCTATAGTTTGTGGAATGCATGTATTAAAATAAACAATGATATCACTTTCACAGAAACTTTGTAATTTTATGTTTTCATACAAAAATTCATCTGTTTAATATGTCACACAGATAACAACAGGTATATCGATCATGTTACCCAATATTTGCAAAATTTGTAGTTCAAATATGCAGAGGGCATACCAAAATTCGGAATTAGTATATTTTAGGAATTTTGCTTTTAAAGTAACTTCAAGACAATACTTTATGGAAAGGCAAGCAATCTATATCCTCTGAGGTCAAAACACATTTTTCCTTATGATACATGGAATTGTATTAAAACAACTAAAATCTGCAAAAATTGATATTTTTCAATAAGAAGAAAATCCATACACTTTACTGATAACATCCGTGCCTTCTTCAGTTGAAGATTTTTGCGAAGGTTTGGACTCTTTCCACACTTTTAAATTTTCACTGAGGAAGGAAAGAATGATAATCAACAACACAGTAAGAAACATGAAAAAGCTCTCAAATATCAGATAAAAGGGAAGTATAGAGCCAGTTTGTTAAACTTTTAAACATGGTTTGAACAAATTCAGAGGGAAATTTTAAAGTTCAAAGTGTTCAAACTGTTTTCTCAAATGTGGGATATTTATCTTTGGAATGCAAGTCACATACATAGCAATCTTGGTGTAGATAGATGACCTTACAAACTTTCACCTGATTTTAAGCTTGCTTATCTCTGAATATTTTCTCATTGCCTCAGCAGCAGCAATTGCATTTCCTGGAACAATGTCTTTGGAAGAAATATTGTGATTTCCATGGGAAGTCTCCATATGCTTCTTCACTGTTGATTGATTAAATCTGCTTAGCCAGAACTTTGGTTTTTGATCTTGAAAACATTTCAAGCAAATGGCAATTTGAGTTGTTTCATATCCAGATCTGACCCTTTTTGGCTTTACTTCAAAGATGGAGTCTTTGGGTTGTCTTTTGAAATGCTGAAGGAAGGCTAAAAGTTTTGCATAATTATTACACATCTATATAATCCAAAATAATTATATGAGAAATTTCTATTGTGTGCAAAAATTAAATGTAAATCAAAGTTCTGTTATTGAATACAAATTTTGATGCTAACCCAAATAATTAGTTACAACAAAGGAGTTTCAGCTTACATTTAACAGCACCTCCAGAAGAATCATTTGACGCAGCTGAGGAAGAACAGTTTTTACATATGACTGCTGACCCATACCCCTCCTCTCCATCAGTTTTTCCACATGGTTTAATTGAGTGGCATGGTTTTTTACATATTTTACACCAATGTGAGCCACATTCTCTTTTGCAAATAGTACAAACAATTTCTGAAAGTGTAAAAGCATTATGGTAGAAAAAGAGTAAGTCATAAGTGGAAATGATTGAACAGGGAAAAAGCTAAAAAACAATATACACATCCAGCAAAAACCTCTTTGATTTTGGATATCGGTCGTTATTCCGACCACTGATAGTATGCCTAAAATGTCTCCTCGTTTTTAGAAACAGCTACATCTACATATTAATCAGAAAGATCCTTAAGGCGTCACCATGATGGAATCAAACTCACAAGCCATAGAAGTGGCGAGAGGGTATAAAATTTAAATGTATGGGAATTGGCGCTGGAGGAAAATTTTGAATAGAAGTTTGATGTAAATTCAAGAAAGGTAACTTACCATCCATATAAGCATCTATTCGGACTTTCTCCAAAACGCTTTATCGAAATCCAGATATCAAATAAAACACGAAACCATAGCGAATTTGATGGTGATCACGGTTGCTAAGCTGTAATGGCGGGCAAAACAACAAACCGTTTCCTCTCATGGGGCCCAGATTCCTAAGCACGCATATTTGTTGTTGGTGCTGTTCCTGGCATGGCATTGTTGTGGTGTGAAAACAACGTCGAAGTTACACCATAAATTTGTGGAAAGATCTTTATCACTTGTTTGCGCGGCCACATTCACGTTTGATGAGTTTGCGCGGCCACAGTCGTGTTTGAATAATTTGCGCGGCCAATTTCGAAAAGCGCGCAGACAGGTGCGCGGGCAAGATATTGCGGGCGCGCACCAAAGTTTCCAGTCTGGCCCGTGATGGATTCAGACGACGATCAGTTTTTGTTAGAAATGTCTGAAGAATCCATTGAAGCAAATGAAACAACTGCGAAAGGTGATAACGAAATGAACAAACAGATAGAAATACTAACCAATATATGGCTCAGTGCTACAATTAGCAAATGTTTTGTTAGTTTAGGCCTATAAAATTTGAAGATGAGTTCCATAGGAATTTTTTATCATGAAAGCCAGATCTTTGAAATACCTTCTTGAGAATTTTAATTTGTGTAATAATGCAGTTTTTGAATGGAGGGAAGAATGTTTCGAAGCATGATTTTAAAAGACAGTAGTCTTAGGTCTAGAGCTTAGCTTGATAACATCATGATTAATTGTTTAATTTCAATACTTGACATGTTGAAATTATAGAATCTCCATGTTGAACAGTTCTATCAAAGAATTATAGAATCGGCTTCTACATGTTGAAATAAGGATCTACAGGGAATTTCATATTTTTGTACGATCAGACCTCATTTTACTCTGTTTCCAAAATTTTCCTTATAGTTTACAAGAATTTGTTGCTGTAAAGTGCAATTGCGATATTATTCTCCCCCTCCCCTGCAATGTTGGTTCTTTCATTTTATGCATCCAATGCATCATTGGAAGTCTTAATGTGCAGAATCTGTTAAATGTAGTACAAGTTGGCTGAGACATGGCGCATATGCAAATGCTCTTTCCCCCTGAAATCATCATAATTTGGTTCTAAACTTTATGAACCAAAGTGAAATAACAGTAATATGTTAGAAAGCTAAAATTTTGCATCAATTTAGCCGATTTAGCATATTCAAAAGTATCTTACGATGTTTGTCAGCAAATAATGTTTGTAGAGCATGATCACCCTTAGTTGCAACTAAAAGTTTACCTTCATTTTGATTATCAAATCATTTCAAAATATGTCTATGTGGAATGTCGAAAACATTTTCAAATTTTGGTTAAATTTTACATATGCATTTATTTCTTCATTTTATAAGATATGTATTGTAATTATCACAACTCACCATGCATTTTTCAGCAGAAAACAATACCCAGCAGTGTACTCCAACAAAGGGCAAAAAACCGATAGATTTCATCAAAGGGAGCAGATCTGGTCTTAGTGTATCTGATTTGGTTCATCAGTTCTGGTGTGAACAACAGTTTGAATACAGTTATACACAACCATTGGCAAAACCTCCTCTGGCAATTCAGAGTATTGGCTCTACAATCCATCTAGAAAGAGGAAAGTACAGTTATTTCAATCATTTTCGCATGTTATTAATTATTATATTAATACAGTGTACAGTTATTATTAGTCAGTACAGTTATTAATTTGTTTGTATGTAGTTCATATTTTGGTGCGTGGATGGCTCAGTTGTTAGAGGTGCTGACTACAGACCCAAGAGTCCGTGGTTTGAGTCCCTCACATGACTGAACTTTCACTCAGAGTGGAGAGAGTCAGCAGCTCTCTATAATTCTAGGCGTAGGAATCATGAGGTGTGATCACATCAAGAGGAAGGACCGGGACACTGCTCTATAAACATAGCTACCTTTGGATGCCAGGTAGCAACAAATACAGAATACAAGTTTTTAAATCACATTTAACATTCAAGTCACTTCCCTTTTGGAAGCCCTGAAGAGCATAATTTTTTTTGTCTTGCCCGAATTTTCCTGCCACAGACGAAGACTCCTAATCTTTTTAGAAATTGATATCATATAAACTCTGTGCCACCCCATCTTTTAAGCACCCCTAAAGCCCCTCTCAATAACTCCCTCTGCAAAGAGAATCTTCCTGTAAGTAGGGCCTTGAAGGAGGCCCACCCCTACATGAACAAAAATATTTCCATCTTTCTCTAAAATGAGCTTTTTATCTAGAAATCCCTCCAAAACTTTAGAAAAAAATCTAGAATTCGGCAGGCAGCTATTTTTGATGCGTTGCAAGGAAGTTTCAAGTTTTTTTAGCTTGAGTTTCTGAATGATATTTGGTTTTTATGGTGTTTTATGGCTCTTTTTCCACAGAAATTTGTCTGTATTTTTTCAGATGATATTGATTTTAACCTGTTTTTTTTGCAATGTAAAAAAGCTAGAGCAGTGGCACGTGTTAATTAAAATCTTTTTATGTCAAATGAAGAGTACTTAAAAAATGTATCAACTAAGGGTTTGATGGCCAGCTAACACAGTGTTATAGAAATTAAATTAAATTTCAGCAGGGCTGCAAATCTGCAGGAATCCAATTTTTTAGGAGATCGACAATAAGAATTTTAAAAGCACATTGTTCCACATCAACTGATTAATTTATTTTTCAATAATTGCTGTCAGTTTATAAAGCATTGCATTAGCCTGAGATAAATTTTAGCACATCCTTATTGAGCGGAGCATTTAACAAGTATGAATCTAGCCTGTTGTTACTTATCAAAATCATTACCCTCTTATTTCCATGCAGAACTAGAAGTCCATGAAATATTTGATATTGAGTGCCGAACCAACGAAGATTACTGGGCACTGAGGATGTTAGAAATGTACCAGCAGCTTTCATGGCTGATTGAGGGGGCGACTGTCAGGGAGCTGTCAATCTTTGGGAATGTATGGGAAGACGAATTGTTTGTAAATGGAGTTATTGATGAAATCAAGCTGGATGGGAACAAAAGACTAGAAATTCATGAACTCAAAACAAGAACAGTAAAGAAAATGCCTGCAAAGGCACAACAAACAAAGGACAAGCTACAGGCCATGATATACAGAAAGCTCGTACACGATTTGTTATTTCGTAAATGTGGTCTCCAAGCCCTGAAAAAGCACGTGCCTTTGAATTGGAATCTAGTGTTGAATTATAATTTGCAAATGTATGCCAACGAACTTTTAGGTCCATGCTCAACGTTGAACGAAGTTTTCAAAATCTTTGACGGTTTCTTGAGATTTGTTAAGTTCCCAGAACTTGGCAGTGCTGTCATAGAATATTGCTATCAAAGGGACCATTCCAATATTGGTTTTAACAAGTATCAGTACGACGAGATGTGGTTACGTAGCACCATATATCATCAATTAGACTACATTTTGGGAAGGAGAGAGCCGGTTGGGGTGGACATCGAAGAAGCTTGGAAATGCGGGCGATGTGATTACTACGACTCATGCGCATGGAGAAAAACAGAGGAAAAGAAGCTTAAAGAAAGGAATACATCAAACTTCACCCACAATTGCACATATCCAATGTCTAGCTGTTCTTCTTCCGTATAAAAAACCAGAGTATAAGCATAACAGACTCTAGCTGTTTTTCTTTCGTGTAGAAACCAGAGTAAGCGCTTAGCAAGAATCTAGCTGTTCTTCGTTATTGTAGAAACCAGAGTAAGAGCTTAGCAAGAATCTAGCTGTTCTTCTTCCGTATAGAAACCAGAGTAAGCGCTTAGCAAGAATCTAGCTGCTCTTCGTTATTGTAGAAACCAGAGTAAGAGCTTAGCAAGAATCTAGCTGTTTTCGGTATTGTAGAAACCAGAGTAAGAGCTTATCAAGAGTCTAGCTGTTTTTCGGTATTGTAGAAACCAGAGTAAGAGCTAAGCAAGAATCTAGCTGTTCTTCTTCCGTATAGAAACCAGAGTAAGCGCTTAGCAAGAGTCCAGCTGTTTACCTTTCGTGTAGAAGCCAAAGTTAGAGTTTATTAATCCAACAAGAGCAGGGAAAGACGCTCAAATGATTTGTTATGAATCTCCCTTATGATATTATTTATGTTTTAGGCCATTAAACTTTGGTAACAGGGTATTCGGTAAGAGAGCCCTGAAAATGTCAATACTTTTGATGAAAATGTCCTCAAACTTTGGTGACCTTCCTAGAAATGCAAGGAAACAAGGCAAACGTTGGACGTGGTTCTGAAATTTCTTTTGTCTTAAATGGCCTTCCTCCTTGACAATTTGTTCGCCATTGTTTTTGGGCTTTGATTGTCCCTTGCGGAAGGATGAATAAATTTCGATAAGTTTGGTTGAGCCGTGAATCAAATGAATGTGTTATGGGCTAATATTATGCTGATGTCATATACGCCAAAACGTTTTGTCTATCTACAAGTAGCGACTTTTACAGGAGATACCTATTTCTGTATGTTTAATTAATTTGAAACTGGAAGGGAGCCAAGTCTCTAGAAACCACCAATAATATGGTTCAGATCATGAAGCTCTTTTTAGTACTCTTTTTAACTAACGTAGATTATTGTAAACTCTAAAAGAATAAGTGTCATTTTTAAGACCGTTTCTTAAAAAACTCTGTCCATGCTCTTTTAGGAATGCACCAAGTATTACATATTGGCTCAACAATTCCTGATTTTTTATTTGCGGCAATAAGATAAGCCCGAATTTTGTTCTATTTAAAAGTAAGAAGAATTCAAGGTAGCTGATTTCCTTGCCAATTTAATATTAACGAATTATTTGTTATCAGTTGGTTTTGAGATGGAAAGGAACAAAAGATTGCATTTAGATTGATTTTCTATGACATTTTGATCGATTTATATGGAAGAGGAGTTCAACGAGCCATGTTTGACGTCCTCCTTGTTGTTTAGAGGTTAAAGAGATATAATAACGAAATACCCACAAAACGACTTTGGTAAATGTTCTAAGTGATTCCAATTTGTGTTGCTCCCACATGTAATTGATATCTTTGGATTTCAGTTTTATAGTTCGCTTTGTAATGCAAGTCCTCTGAATATTTGCGGCACAATTTTTTTTATGAGATAAGCAGAATATTCCTAAACTTCAGATTTCTTACTGAAAACAATTAACATTTATGGATTATGTGCCAAGAAGATCCTCATGTAACAAATCTATTGGGACACTCTCTTGCAACAACAACCCAAGTGATACAGTGTTGGTTCAACTTTTGCTTCTGATCTTTCCCACTTTATGTTATACATATATTCTTTTGATAGTTTGAATAAAATTTGTTATTTTCTGAATTGCAGTTTTATGGTTCGTTCACAATTGAATTCGTTTATATTTCATTCGTTGTATGCTATTAGATTAATAATAAATCGTTAGTAGAATTTAAAAGAGTTTTGTTCATGTTGCAAGTTAAGGGCCATCTTGGCCTATATACTTAGATATTTAGATAAAACCCGACAGCTGAGAGATAAAAGAATTGCTTTCAAAGACTCTTCTAATTGGTCAAAAAAAAGACTTGATGTACATTTTTTGGGTAGGGAATTGGGGGGGGGGGGGGTTCTTGATTAAATTATGGATAGGGGTCGGCCGCTAGTATATTCAAAATGGTTCCGCTGGCTAAAATTATTCCGACAAAAGTTGTTTCACTAACTAGTTTTATCGACAAAAATGGGTTGTCAGTATGAGATTCCTACTTTCCAAGACTTTGTTAAGAATAAAATATTGTCAAAGTACCATATTGTCAAAAACGATACCCTTGGCTAGTACTTGGCTGGAAAAAAATTGCAATAGAGTGCAACCTTTGCTAAACTAGAAGTCCGAAAAAGTAAACCCTTGCTCGTGGCACTTCCCCTGGTGCCTTAACTATGGAAGAAAAACCCCCGAGGGTATTTGTCTGTAAATACTTTAACATTGTAAAAGTAGCATCAAAGGATGATTGCAGATGATCTCGGTTGTGTTTGCAATTTCAAGAAGAGGCTTCTAGCAGACTTCAGGGACTGGTTCAGGACACCATTTCTGCTGAATCGCCACATCCTATTTTAAAACCTAACCATACAACAGCTCTAAAATGTCTATGTGATAACTTTAATGTTGCTTTTCATGGATATAGAATTATAAAGACGTGCTTCATGTGAAAAAGTAATCTGGTCAAGGGTTTATAATTTTATGATTTTTGTTAGGGTTAGGGATTTTTTCAATATATGAAATACACAGTGCCTACCAAAAGTACATACCCCCCGTTTTCATCATTATGACGACGTGTCTTACAATATCGCTATTGCTTGGGAGCTGTCTAGTTTCCATACTGCTCGACCTGATGACGTAATTAGTTTACACTAAACCTAACCCTAAACCTAATCTCAACCCTTACCCTAACCCTAACCCTAACCCTTTACTTTACTTTAAAAATTAATCATACTAATTTATGACCATTAATCATGCTTATTTATGACTATCAAGTCGAGTAGTATGGAAACTAGACAATTCCATTGCTTATATATCATGGGGTGATTTGACCTAAATGCTTGCCTCACTTTGTTATGACTTAGCTGTCCGCAGTACGTTCACTTTGCCTTACCTCAAAATGTCTGTGTATTTTTACAAGATTTGCCTAATCTTAACGATGCACGTTAACATTGCAATTTCACTGTCTTTATGTAATCAAGAAACCGCATTTCAAGATAAGACCTGATCAAATATACCTCGAAGTGGGTTCCTAAGCTTTATTGTGGGAAATTGTGGGAAAACTGTTCGCCTTAAAACCGCATGCCCTCCTTATGACCTGCGCTGAAATGGTACTTGAAACAAACGCAAAAGGGTGTGTTTTATCTCTATGGTTTCAAACATGTTTAAGTCTACCCTGCAAATGACAAGAGTTGACCTAACTGGGGATGTCAATATTAATCACATATTTTATAACAAAAATAGTTGTTACATTAAAACTGAACAAACCTTAGAATAAAAAGGACAAAAATGGTTTGAATTGACAGCGGAGCGAACGCTAGAGGGGAGGGCTCGCATTCAGTCTAATATAAATTGCTTCTTCGTTTTACTGAGGAAAATATCAGCAAGTCATGTTTTCTTGAAAGATCAATTTTTACTCCAAGATGGAATACGTAGGCCTATTGTGACGATTTGTATTGAATGTTCAAAGATAACTTTAGTTTGTACGTAACAACGTAAGATTATTTGATCAACGTCTTTTATCTATCTAAAAGAATCTAAGCTTATTTGAATATTTTATTTCACAAAAAGTGGGGAGGTCATGGCCCCCCTGAACACCCCTGTGGTGCGGGCCCTGGGCTCAGGCTCAACATTTTTATTTCATAGTTGAATGTGTTTAATCAAACTACGAAGGACTTTGGATTATCTTCCACTCTCCATCTATAATAGAATTTTATTCAGGAAGCTGTTTAAAGATAATTTTTGATGATCTCCAGGCTGAAATCGAGACTCTTATGAAATATCGAAGCTCAACAAGGAATAAGGTATTTTTTAAAAAGGTTACACGTCTTTCAGACTTGCCCTGTTAACAAGCTTTCTACACTATTATTTTTATTGCTTATTTTTGTTTAAAATTTGCTCACCAAAAATGCCCATGGACTTAATATATTATCGACGTATTTCTGTGGCAAAAGGGTAAATGTGCATGAAGGTGAAGGGATAATTCAACAAAGAAACTAGTGGGCGTATTCCCCAATAGGCCCTAAAATTACCCCACTAGTTGGTCCATCGTGATTCCCAACTAATAGGCGGCCTTTTATTAAAAGTGTATATGGTACCCATATGATGAATTGGGCACTTGCCCCCTTATTGTTCTCCTTTGGCTCTCAATTGCGTCACAAGAAAACCATAACCTTAAAAGTGCCCCTGTTCTCATTCGTGTAATCATCGACACAGAGAGCTGCACTTGAGGTAAAGGTAAAAATTCTTCTTCCAGGACCAGAAGGAAGAAGGTATATAGGTAATTAAATTTTAAAACAGTGTATTGTTGGAACAGAGTGTGTTCAAATATTTGTTCACTGCCGTCGGAATAAAACACGTATTGGGGGAGGGGGGCGTCGGAATAAAACACGTATTGGTGGGGGGGCTGCCCATTATATTCCTTCTCACTCAGTACACTGTTGTAAAGGAAATATACTACAGTCTGAAAATCATTAGGGGGCTCCAGCCCCCCAAGCCCACCCACTCACGGTTCCGACAGGCCTGACTATACACATTTTTATAAGAACCAGTAAATTGAAGTTGATGTTGGCTGTTCTCAATTTCTTCAAAATTTTAAAGGAAGGGTTGTTGTTTTAATTTGCTCTTAAATTTCTAGGATGTAAGATTAAAGAATTAGACATGTTGGTAATGCATAACTGTCATTAATTGCCTTAACAGAAGATATTGACTTCAAAATGTTTGGTTTCAAATTTGTTGATCTCATCGATTATATCATCGATTTGAATTTTGCGGCACCTCAACCTCAGCTTTCTCTTAATTCTATAGAGCCTTAAGGATCTTGTTCTTATAAAGATTTCCTCATGAAAAAATAATGCAACTAAGTTCCTTTTCTTAAAATTTGTTCAAGCTGCTCTGAGGATAGTAATAGCAAAAATATGCCAAAACGAAGAGGGGAAGAAATTTCCCAGACATTTGAACTTTTCAAAGAATACTTTGAACAAAAGTGACATGTTCAATATGACATGTTGATTGAATACGTTTTGTATGTCTTTTATCCCATAGGAGCCATAGGAGCTTGGGGGGTTTTGTTGATAGAGTCACCCTTGTTGAGCATCGAAAGATTTTAAATACACGAAAGATTTTCACGTATAGCAAAAATGCAGTGTATTTTCTCGATTGAAGTGACGGCAAATCAAAGGTAAAGTACCAAAAACCCTTGAGATTTTCAGTTGAGATAACAAGTTTAGTGCTTAGTATGCCCTTTGTCCATTGTCTCTTTGTCAATTAAATGTATCTATTGTTCAAATCGTAATGTGTCCTTAACACTTTTAGAATGATCTACGGCAAAAACGTTTTTTAAAATATATTCACTTCTAAATTCTACTTTCCCCTAGCCCCCAGGAAAATTAAAAACAACAAGAATAAAAAAGAGGCTGTGAAAAATTAGTAAAACTTATAATCAGGAGTAATTTTTGTTTGATTGAAATGCCACTTGATTGTGTCCAATCTCAAGAAACCGCACTGCAAAGTTTTAGAGCCCAGGTATGTATCTATTAAGTCTTCCTAATCACAGAAGTTCATCATAGTCCCCTTTTCGTCCCCTTTCATAGGAGAAACAGGAACTTTGCCTGCAACTGTCAACAGTTCATTGCAAGTCTGATTTCTGGTAAACGTGTTGACAAGTTTTGCAAGCAAACGTACGTAAAGGCCTACAGTTTTCTTCTCATTATTTGATGCATTTGCTATGTGAAAATTCGCAAGTTCTTGAAAAGGAAGAAAGCCTCTCGGGATACAATTAACTGACAGTTCACATCTGTTCTTGCCTCGCTATTGACGGCATTAGATGAGGTATCCTTGGTGGGGAAGTGTTGGAAAAATATAGCAGCAACTGAAGAAAACCGAGTTTGTCGGAGCATTGTTGTTGGTTACCTTGATATGAAGTTTTGAAGGAAAGGTGGTGTGTCTAAAGATAAATAAATAGTCGTTTATCATAATATTTTTTTCTGCAAAGATTCGCTGCGCATACCATCCTACCGGCTGTGGCAGGAACTAAAACCAAGAGAGAGGATATTAACTGATAGCTCGGTGAAGTGAATCCATCGTTTGTTGCAATTACATTGTAGCATGTGGTTGAAAAGAACCAATTCTGGACAACTGGCAACACTAGAAGGGGGAGGGCAGTGGCCTGGTAATAAAATTATGGTATTAAATCGACGCTGGTGATGCGAATTTGTTGTTATTTAATCGTGGGTCAGCAAATCACTGAACGAACTCACATTTTTTAGTTTTCTATATATATAACATAGTTAGTTGCGAACTTTGTTGGAATTTGGAAGGCTGAGTTTCATTGCAACATACTGCTCCTGTTTCAAATCCTAATATTGTTGAATAAATATTTACTCTTAGAGAAAGTCACGATTCATTCGGATAATTTTAGTCATATTTTAAAAGCTGTCCTCGAAGCGTTGGGTAGTCAGGATTGGTGTTTTTATGACACAATTTGAAACCGACTACGAACATGTAGGACCTTTTAACCTGTGCTGTAGCCCGTACAGGCTGTTGGGTGATGGTTGGAATATTTTCACTTCAACGATTCACTTTAAATGACAGTATGAATATAGCGATAAAATTATGAATATTGAGGAGATATAATTAAGCGGTTGCAGTTGTCTTAACACATTATGGCCAAGAGGTTGACGAAGAGTCTCACTGACAGACATGATGACATTGGCAAGCCAAGAGGCGGCAGTGTTAATGGAAGTGAACGAAACGAGTCGAAGCCAGCGCTAATCCATTACTTAGAAAGAATTGAAATCGATCGCGAACTGGAGAATTTTTATCCTGAAGACAGAACTGAAGGGGATTTTGAAGAACAATGTCTGTATCGGGAAATGGAGCAGTGTTGGCCAGGTTTAATCCCGGAATGTGATGTTTGCATTGATGAAAAGCCCCGATATCCTGCCTCTAGCAGGAGTGGTGACTGCAACATAAGTGCCTTGTTGAAAGAGATCAATGTTAAAAAAGAAAACATTCGAAGTACTCGACAGGTAGCATGTGATGTCATTCGGGGAGTGGACACTACTCATCAAGACCCTTTAAAACAGTCAGACAAAGCAAAGAAAAGGTCTGCCAATAACCGAAGTTTGTTTTCATCAAAACGCAAGCAGGATGAGGCGACTGTGACAAATGCTAAATCCGATTTTGGCTTTCGCAGGAATCTTGTGAGCAGGAAAGCCGCAATTATGCGTGAGAAGAAGGAGGGGTGTGCAGCTAATTTAGCCAAGGAAATGGAAAATAGCATTGATAAAAATATAAATGCTCCAACCAGACAAGAGGCTCCATATGGATTGAAAGATTCGACGGTGAGACGGAAAGTCAGCCGGGTTGAGATCAGAATGGTGGGTGTATCAACGAATGACGATAATGACAGAAATTGCGAAGCTAGAGATAATATAGACGGAATTAGGGGTAAATCGCTGAGCGCTGGGTCGTTTGGAGTTCAGGATTGTGAAGAGGCGTCAATTAATTCACCACCATCCACGGATTCTGGGATGAGTGAAAGACACGAAATCGCGATTGATGGCGAATCCACTTTCAGACGTTATGGAACAATGGAGTGCCAACAAGATTCGAATGATATACCACCCATTGCCATGGTAACTCGTGGTATCGGCATTAACTGTCAAACAAAGGATAATTCCAATGGATTTATAAGGCTGACACGCCAAAACATAATCAGTGGTGTAAAACCAAATGAAAGGGGGCCGAAGGATATGAACAGTGATGTTAAGTCTGAAAATATAATCAAAGATACACGAATTGGTTATAATGGAATGGAAGACAATGACAGAGGGTCATTCTGCAGTGCTGAAATTGGTGTTGGGCGAATTCCACAGGTCTCTAGATATATATCATTTGTTAATGGAGTAGAACCAATTTTTAATTGCAAGGCGACTAATTGCTCCGATAACGTGAATGAAAACAACAGTTCTGAGTTACTTCCCACAGAGGAGGTAGTAGGGACGCATCGTCTGGAGTCCGTGTGGAAAAGCGTGGAGAGCGATTCTACGGAGTGCAGTGAAGAATTTAACTCAATGGGGCCAGTTAAAGGTTGTTGCGATACGGGTGATCGTGAAATGTCTATCACAAAAGAAACAGGTACAATTAACGCCAAGGTTGACAATCACAGGGTTGTTAAATCAACAAAATCAAATAAAGCTGTTTCAAAAGGATTTTACATTGAAAAAAGAGATCATAAAAATGAAGACACAAATCTTTCCAGTGATGCAGAGACGGATTCCATTGTTGAGATTTCTATAGATGGCAGTGAGGAGGAGGATGACGGTGGTTCAGCGAATGAAAACAAATGGATGATAGCGATTGTTGATCGCGAAAGGGGCGAGGAAAGTAGCTGTTTAAGTTTTTCAGACGGTTCAGCGGGGGACTGTGAATCAGAAAATGAAATAACCAAGGCGGTTTGTGAAGATTATTTTTATGACGACTTCCCTGACCATGACCAAATAAACAGAGAGGATCAAGAGAAGAAAACAATCAAATCTTTAGGCTACTCTAATCCTCTATTAGAAAACAAGGGACAAGCCCGTAAGTCAATTGAAAATAGAACTTCGCAAAAATGCATTGTCAACGGGCACGTTCGCAGGGATGTAAGTCGAGATTTGAATTCACCGTCCGGCAAAATGTGGCGAAAAACAGTGGCAGGGAAGGACTCAGACAGACGCGGATCGACGGAAGACAGGAGTAAAGTTATCTGCCAAGGTCAAGGTGTCCAGTTTCGGCTAAACACGAAAAAATTGTCGGATAATAAGCTTGGAAAAACAAACGAGGAGGCCAGCGAAACGGCGAGGAGTGAGGGAACCGTAAAGCGAATCGTTAGTTCTGCCAAATCTGTGGCTGTAAAATCGGTCGTGAAAGAGGAAAAAACAGACGAAAATGCGAAAAAAGTAAGGAACCTATACAAAGAAGAGATTGAAAATATATCTAGTGATTTAGGAACTGTAGATAACCCGGAATCAGACTTCATAGACAGAGAGTTGACGGAAATTTTGAACTACGAACCGCCGAAATTATCACTGCCGCTGACTGAAAAGGGGCACGTTGAATTAAATTTGCGAGAACAGGGTGTTGGAACTGAAGAAGCTTTAAAAATGGAGAACAGCAGACTGAGCAATTTGTTACTGGAAGTTGAACAAGCAAGAGCAACTACAGTCAAAGCCTTGCTAAGCGCGAACACGGTACTTCATAAAGTAAACGATGAAAACACGCAACTCGAGGGAACTTTAAAAATGCTTGGCACTGATAAAAAGTTCCTTGAAATTGAGCTACATGACTGTAAAGAAAAACTGAAGAATTCTGATAAAGAAAAAGACATTTTCAATGTACCTAAAGTAACAGAGTTCGAAACTTCCATGGCAGTTATTATCAATTCGTGGAGAAAAGAAAAACAAGAATTGCTAGCTGCGTTGGCGAAGAGCTCTTTGCGAGTGCAGCGGGTCGAAGCAGACGCAGAGGGGTTACGTGTTGGATTTCAACGCGTGAAAAATCAACTGGAGAATTCCAACACAACCTTTAATAAACTGTTGGAGCATAATCTACAAGCATCTGCTAAAGTTGAAGAAGAGCTACGCAGGCTGAAAGCAGAGAAGGAAATGCTCTCTGAAAAATTAAAGAGAAACAATGACGACTCTGAGAGGGTTCAAAACTTGGAAAATGAAATCGAGGGCATGAAGACAAACCTGGAGCTTTCCAGTGAAGAAAAAGAAGAACTTTTAAGTAAAATTTCGCATTTAGAGAAAAAGAACAAGCAGTGCAAGATGGAATGCGAAGAACTGCAGGAACAACTTGATCACTCTCAAGAGATTATTGACAAGCTTGCTGAGAAAGAGGAAGAATTAAAGGATAAATTAGAGAAAGAAACGAGCGAGAAGGAGTACCTACAGGATTGCCTAGACGAAACTGGACAGATTTTGCTTCATTTGCGGAACAACGAGAAGAAATTGTTGGATGAGAAGGACGAGTTAGAAGAGGATCTGGAAGAGGAGATACAAGTCAACGAGAGTCTGCAGGAGTCATTGAAAACTACAATGCAGGAACATCAGAGCTTGGTCAACAGGTATGTTAAACCCTCTATTAATTTTACTGTCTGTTTGCAAGTGATTGACGTTAACCGGTAAGACTCTGCATGACAGTTATTCCATCATATGATTTTCTTCTATTTCGTTCCATCCCATTGCGGCCTTTATTTACGCTGCAACACGTTTTCATCTTGTATATTTAGGATTTAAAATTGTTAAGAGGATCCTGTGGGTTTCTTTATTTCGAAATGCCGTATTCACTTTGTTTGATTAAGTAGGAAAAATGTTCCTTTGTGTAAACAAACTATATTAATCCTGTTCCTCTAAATGTATATTTTTACATGTACAATGATTGTTTTCAAGTCGCATTTCCAGCTTAAAATCGCACGACATCCTTTATTCAGGTAGCAAAAATGCTTGCAATTATACAAACAAATGTTCAAAAAATGATTGAATATGCTTATTATGAAAAATGCACCTAAAACGTGCATTTGAAAAGTCGATTTTGATATTAGAGGAATCCTTTTCACAAGAACTCTAGATATTACGAAAAAGAAGATAAAGCCCAGTTCATAGGCCTTAGATAGTGCCCTCTCTGTCATGGTTTTCCGAATATTGCACACGTGACTTTGCTCCATTTTGCTATAAATCTCTAGGTGCATGTATTTAAGTCAAAAATTTAGGAATCATTTTGAATGTGAGAGCACATGGTATATAAATAGGTGTCCTTCCATGAGCTGCAAATAGTAACTTTACATCTGTTTCTGAGGGTGAAGGTGTACGTGCCCCATATTTCCTATTTGATCCTAGCAAATGTATACACTGTGCAACTTTGCAAGTGTTTCGTGAAAAGGAGTTAGGGACGTAGAAAGCATTTCAAATTTCAGAGTCATTGTAATTTGAGGGCATCTTTACAACACCTGTTTTTTCTTTTGTTGGCCCGCTGTTCGACAATTGATAATTGGTCAGAAATTTTCTTGTTAACTATTACCCAAACCAAGGCAAATAGCGGAGTAGTCTTGCAACAAATTTTCCTTTGAAATTTGTGAATGTTTTTTAAAAAAAACCCCTGGATCCCCCATTTTTATAGCCCTGTTTCGTGTAGACTACACGGTGGGGTGCTTTATAGCCCCAGCCTCTGTCGCATGTCAAGGGATATCAAATAATTTCATTTGTTTGGCATCATGATTTCAGGCCAACCTCCAATATTTTGACCCCCTCCCCCTCAATGCTCCCACACCCATTACATGTGTATCCACCTTTCGATTTTTCTTGCCCCAGACCCCTATTCAAGTGGCTCAACATTGAACCAAGATAGAAAAAGTTTTGATATAATGATTATGACGAATGACCTCATTTTACTCATTGAAAATTTACAACTATCCCAGTTTGTCAAAAGGTTCTTATAGAATTAATAGGTTTGTTAGTGATTTTTTGTAATGCAATATGGGACTTGAACCTTCCCAGTAATATAATTTTTAAATTACAGCTCCATTAATACTGGCCACGAGATCTTGCGACCTAAGACTTTATTCTAAGCCAAAGTGGATTATGTTATCAAAATGACCTACAAAAAGTTACCGAAGAGATTAGTCTTTCATATTTTGGAATACAAACAAATCTCTCTGATAATTGGTCCCTTAGTTCACCAAAACGACTGGATAACGATCTAGATCCACTAATGTTCTCCCCTGAAATAACGAAAAATCTATCAAAACAGCATTAATATTGTTCTTTGTAAACAATCCAATGACTAGACTCTTTCATCGCGTGAGCTATGCAATATACTGTGAACAAATTCTTGTTGTTTTTTGCTGAGAACATTGCATCACATTTTGAGGGCTTTTTGCCTCCCTTGTTCGAACCATCGTGTATTCCAATATTTATAAACGTTTTCGAAAGAGCTCTTTGTTGAAAACCTGATCGTTTACTTTCATACATTCCACGTTGATATTGTGTTGTTATCGATCAAGTGTTATTGTTGAGAGGTATGGTAACATACCCAACTTGCTTGTTCATGCAGAGATTCTACAATTTTTTCAAAAAATATATTGAAATTTTTATTTCCAAGCATGATAACAAAATGGCTTAATTCAGAGTCTTTGAGGAGGTACCCTGGGTACAAGTGCCACAAAACTTTGAACGCGTCAATAGAAATCCAAGCGAAGGAGCGTCCGCTTCTCCACTCCTAACTTCTATTTCCGCGCTCAAACTTATGCGGCTCTGGTAGCCGGGGTATTGAAGAGGAGGCTCAGTGCTAAAATTTGCAGTGATTTAGGGGTACTTAGCCCAATTTTATTGGAAGTATATTTCTTCGTAGTCATTATTTACTCCACAATTTTTTTGTGAATGTAACAAAAAGTATGGTTGAAGTTTTTTTTTTTACTATCAATACAGAACAGATTTTTTGCACATGATGATTATGATTTAGGGGTCTCGTTGTCGGAGGGCCAGAATATTTTGATTCCTACCATTGTCTTTATAATTATGTTCAGGGTTTTGGTTGCCAATTTCAACTCTTTTGATAGGATATTTCGAAATGCAAATCAGAAGTTCGAATGGTCGGTTTTCCGCGCTGTTCCGAATGTGTATTCTTCTGAGATTGGACAGGAAAGCCAAAATATGCGGCCTATACGAATTTAGGGGACCATCAGTAACAGAATTTGCAGAAACAATTTGAATTTTTTCCTTTTTTAATGGCCAATCTTTTATTTGGATAGGACTTGGATCTTCCCTTGTGAGACGACATATTACGTTTGCAATTAGGCCCTGATTAAGATCGAGGCTGGAAGCAGTGCATGTCCAAGTTGTTTTTACTCGTTTGCAGTTCGCGAGAGATATCTGTGCATGGGTTCATGAAATCCTCTGCACGCCCTTTAGAATTCAAAAGATGAAAGAGTGGATTATTAAAATCTGCATTATTGAACAACAATCAAAATTTGAAAGTGATGTTTTGTTGGCAGTTATTGTATGGATGTTCCAAGCTTCTGACTATTAAAAGAGTGGATTTGATTTTAATTGGAAAACATTTGATAATCTTCTTAACATGTAATTCACTTAACATTAGCCTGCCCTTTTGCCCGTTATCCGTTAATTTTCTTGGCTGAAGCTCTGTTGAGAGTGAGGCTAAAGAAAGGGAAGGCTTCAGGAACGAAGCTAAAGAAAATTGTTAGGGGAAGGGGTTGCCGATCCCTAGATTTGCCAAAAAGAATAGCGTTTCCAAGGGTTCACCGTTTGCAATAAAACGACGTGGCCAAACTGCTACAGGGAAATCTTGAACCATTTGAGAATAAACAGACAGTTTTCAAGCCATAGTGGAATATTGAGTAGCTATATTGATCCGTTCACTCGGAGGACTTTTTATCCTCATTCGAGAGCTATCAGAGTACTAAGGTGATGACGTCATTAAACCTATTTTTAGATATTTTTCATTCTAGCTACATAACATGAAAAATCTTTATAAAATACCGTTAAATATGCAAAATAAATTAAATATGCTGCTAATTTTTCGAGATGTGGCCAAAAGAGCACAGGCTCTTTCCCAATCAAATATCTGTAATCAGTTTCTTTCCTCATCAATTCAATGTGATTTCTTTTTAGTCCTAAAATCTATGAACCAAGCTCACACAGTAGTAATCGATAAGGAAAAGTCAGTTTTTACATTTGCTTGTCCCAATCAATTGGTAATAGGCTCAACTTGTTTTTGTACATTCGGTGGTTTTTTATGATATTTTCGACATTATATGATTAAAAGTAAAAATTTCTAAAAAATTGATTTTTATGACGTCCTTTTTTGGAATTGTATTCTCAGTGTCTAAGAGAAAGCCATGCATAGTCATAGTCCAATTACTCCACTCCACAGTCGACTAAAGCACATTTCCCTCCAAGAGCCAATTGAAAGTCAAAAAGTCGAATTGACTGATTTTTACTTTCCCCCGTCCTCTACCTTTTTATGAGATAAAATTGGATAACATTGTGATATTAATGTGACATTATTCTAAGAGAATCCAAAAGGGGGTGGTGTGCATTAATTTTCCCCCCTACACTCACATTTCGTTCCCCTTGTATAATTTTCATCTCGCTACAGTCCAGCTACTTTTGTATATTTATACCTTACAATACGTCACAATCCATTGGAAATGGCTTTTCTGCTCATCTTTATCATATTTTAATTCCCTTTCAAAGTACCTGCAATTTAGATTCCATATTTTTAAACTTTCTCACTTTTTATTGTATTACTCCTGCAATATGCTAGATCGAAATATAGCTCAAAACCTGCAGAAAACTGGCTGATTTGTTTGATAGCTAGATTTTCTGTAAGCCTAGATCCCATATTAAGTAAACCATTGCGACAAAGATAAAGTTTCTTGATCACCTACTACATGTTTTAAACAATGAAGCGACTACTAAAATAGAAACGTAGATAAAGAAGGAAATTGGCGTTGGATAACGTTCATCTGAGTTGTGGGCTAGTTCGTTTAGGAAGTATTAACTGTCGTGGGAAAGGAATATGCACAGTGAAAAGTTGGTTAGAAATTAGGTTCCCATATACCAGAGTTTACGATATTAATTTTGAAGTTATTAATGCAGTGTGATCCCAACAAATCTTTGTGGGTTGACGTATTGTACTTGTAATTTTGTAGCCAAGCGACCATGATCACAATAAAATAAACTTCGGCAAACAATCAACGGTTTCTCTTTTATCTAAAAATTGACAATTTCGGTGACATTTTGATCAAATTGTACTACTTTTATAGGAAACTAATAACATAAAAGTGTAATTTGTTATGGCCGATGTAACAAAACCTGAGGAAGAAGTATTTCGCTGAACAAGGTCTACTGGTAACGACTGTGCAGCTAACAGTGTACATATGTTGAGGATAGTGCGGAGATATTTGAAGATAGTTTGAGAGATGATTTTTTACATGATTTTAGATTGAGAGATGGTTTTTACAATGCTAAGCTTTAAGTTCTGAGTCGGAAAAGAACATTTTTGCTATCACTCTTTATTGTAATTCAGTTGCTGAGTTTCCGTTTTAAGGGTATCTAGGATAACTTTGATTACCCCAACCCCGACGAAAAGCACGAAATTATCATTGTCCTCAGATGTCCAATTTTTTCGCCTTTTTTGTTTTCAAACATTGTAATGATTTGAAAGTCTTTGTCAAGGCTGCTTAGGGGTGAAATTCTTTTTACTATTAAGTTCTTCTAAGCAGTAGAATCAGTTGCCAAATTTTTACTCCTATTTATTCAAGATTCACTAATTCCTATTCGTTCACTAATCCATGTTACCTGTCATCAATGTTCTTTGAAAATATTGGAATGTATCAATTCAAGTGTCAATATAATTTTAGACATACTGAATTACCCAAGGAATCTTATTCAGTCTATTTTGAAACTTCGTCCGAGTGTGGCAGTTTACCATAGCATTTTTGTTGCTTTTAGGCTACAAGATATGACCAACGTTCACATAACCGTGAAAGCGTCGCTGGATGAAGCAAGCAAAAAGGAGAAATCATATCAGCAGCAAATTGCAAACCTGAACAAAACGAACAGCATCTTGCACTACTCCCTTGAAAAAGAGAGGGAAGAGAGGATAGATTTGCAAGAGATGTACGATAATCTAAACAGTCAATGGAAACTTTACAAGCACGAGAAAATAGTGGAGAATGTAGATATGACAAAGAGGCTCGATGATCTGGCTGAAAAAGAGGCTGAATTGAGCATGAAGAAGGACGAGTTGACGAAGGAGAATGAAAATTTGCGCGAAAACCTGGAACACGAAGAGGAAGAGAACGATGACCTGAGAAAGAAGCTATCGAGACTGGAGCAGTGGAAGAAGTCAAATGAAACAGATTTAGAGATGCTGCGGAGAGAGCGTGACTTAAGTCAAAACGAAGCGTCGGATTTGAAAAAGCGGGTTGATGATCTCAGCCGAGGCCTGCAAAAGGAGAAGGATCGTTATGAGAATATGATCTGCACGCTGGAAGAAGCGGAAGAGAGTCTAGAGAAAGTTTCCAAGAGTCTAAGTGAGACTCGTGATGCATGTTCGAAGTATCAAAAGGAGGCCGAGGAAGCAAAAACCAGTTTGAGAGAAAAGACCAAAGAAGCACAAGAGTTGAAGTTGAAGCTGGAGGAAGAAACCGGTGAGAAGGAGAAGTACTCGAAAAGTTCGCTCAGCCTTGAAAATGAGGTGGCCAAGTTGAAAAAGAATATTGCAAAGCAGCAGGAGGAGCTAGAAAATAATCAAATGCATTTCAAGAGGCTGGAGAGAGAAAAATTATGTCAACGGAAATTACTTGACGAAAGCAAGCGGGAATTTGAGACTCATAAAGAAAGGTGCACTGTAAACATTCAAAAACTGAGGGAAGAACTTGTTGGTGTACAAAATAAATTGGTCGAGAAGGACAGACAAGCCTTAAAAGAAAAGGAAAATTGGCAAGATGCAATGGAAAACACAGCCGCTGATTTGAAGCTGCTGAGAGAATTGTTTGGAGGCGAAATGCGACACAAGACGTCAAACAAAGGGGGGTCTTCCTTGCGGGATGTTTTAGAGAGGGATGGAGGGGAAAGGACTGATATCGAGTTATTAAGAAAAGCGTATCACAGGGCAGAGTCGGAGCTTTTGCGAGATGTTACAGACCTTGAAGGGATGTTGAAGACTTCTAAGGAAGAGAAAAACACAGTAGCTGTTGTTCAAAGTCCCATGTCTAAAATCAAGCTAAGTGAGATAAAAAAGCTGCGGGATGAGATTCATGAATTGAAGAACGACCTTGTGGCAGTGCGGAGGAGAATTTCAGATATTTACGAAGAAGTTGTGATGCTGAAAAAGGGCGAGGAACGCGGTGAAATAGACAATAAAACAATGCAACTTGAGGTGGAAGGAATCGACGTTAAATTGCAAAAGCTGAATGAAGCTATCTTCAAGATTGAGGCTGATCATGAATACGTCATTGAAAGAAATAGCGAGATCATTAACAAAGGAATGCACCTTATGAGTAGAGAATTTGTTTCTGACGAAGTTGATAGTTCAGGAGACTCGGCATACGAGAGAGAAGAAAGATACTATGGCAGAAAAGAAAAGTCAGAAACGAGGTTGCCAGCCGGGGATGACAGACTCAAAGGAGACATTGATAGTGTTAAGAAACCAAGTGAAATGACCGCTAGCCACTATGAAGATAGCGGTTTGTTATCAGGCAGTAAAAGGTATATAACAATAAAAGCGACTGTTACAAAAGATGATACCTCTATAAAGGCCGGTGGAAACGCCCCTACACAAAAATATGTGCCACCCACTAGTATGCGGTACCCACCAAGACACCCAGGAAGCAAGCAGCAATCATATAACGGATATCGAAGCAGTTACCACTCGAACGATAGCAGTGGTAGTGACCGGACTATAATCGACCAAGCAGGGAAAATAACTGCAGGGCAGCCCAAGAAACCGAGTTATTTTGCTGCGGAAATGTCCTTATTTCATCATGACGAGAGTGTAGCGGCAAGTATCTTACGGCGGAAATTGGAGGGAAAGAGCCAGCTCCGGGAATGTAAAAGTGAAACAGCCTCGATCAAAAGCGCCAGCTCATTACGAGGCAGCACTGTTGGTCGGTCAGCGAGGAGTGGCAGTGTTGATGATGATGATGATGAACATGACGAGGATTCAGATGTGTCTGTCGGTGACTTTCAAAGAAGTAAAACTTTGCCAAGAAAGTACAAATCCAGGACTGGGTTATCAAAGATGGTATAACAGTAATTTGGATATAATGTAGATTTGATGGGTAATATTGGCAACCCATGCCCTAGCAATCCAAAATCAGTATAGAACTGTCGTCTTTTCCCTCGATTAATTACACCTAAAGCCTCTAGACTTAATTGTATGCATGGAACATCAGGAGCCGAGTCCGTACAATGTAAGCCCTCCTTCTCTTTTTTGGCATCCAGCCCACAGGTGTAGGTCCTTGTGCGCGAACGACCTTAGGTGTCCCTTAAACTTGAGTACAATGCTTTCGAAATTCGCGAAATTTGTAAGAAATTTTCACATAAAAGGCTTAAAGTTGTAATATCTTTGCCCGTCAACTAAGCTGAAGTCTTTAACTAACACATGGCCCCTCTGTTTCAGTAATCGAGCGTCCAGGGCGCGCAATGTTACGCTCCTGAACTTACTGTCAACAAATTTTAAGAAGAACCACTCTTTGTAAGTGCTCAAAGGGCGTGCGGTCTTGGAATATATTTTAATAGGGAAATCTGATCTATATAAATTTCGAAAATTGTAGTAGACCTCTCGTTTAATCTAGCCCATGACCGGTCTGCATTTACCGTAGTTAACATCCTGCCGTTTACTGTAGTTTACTGAAGATATTCTCAAAACGGCCTAATCAGACCGCTTGTCTCTGCCTTTCCATTGATATCATTCCAACAACGACCTAAAAAAATATGTACCCAGTGCACGTGAATTCCCTATTTATTCCTAAATTGTCAATGTTACAATATTTGATTAAATCAAATGCTAAAACATTACCTTTGATTGTAGTTTCATCGGCTTTTTCTATGATATTTCTTTCGTTGTTTGATAACTTTACTCATAAACTTCCCCATATCGTTCAGTGAAATCGACATGATGAAAAAGTTCTTCATGTTAATGATACTTTATGACACGGATACAAAATGGCAGATATGATAAATCGTAAGCAATCCTCAGAGCATTCATTGCGTTTCAATATTTCTCTTTACTCTAGTTGATTATGGAATCCTCAAGGGGTATTTATGGGGATTTTTTACAACTTAAAGGGGTGAATTTTAATCAATATTCCGAATTAATCGGAAGTTACAGAACTTCACGACAGCCTAGATATGTTGCAAAAAAGCCTGCTAACAATCATCTGAAAAGGGCCTTAGTAATTTTTATAGATGTATTTTGATTATGAAATATATTTTGTATTCAGAAACTTAAAGTCAGTTTTACTGTTGTCTAGTAAAAGATTTTTGTATATATTATGAGATGGCAAAAAATCGTTATCCGATTTATTTAATTCTTTGTAAGTTCTGTTTGATTTGGTTATAGCATCACTACGGAGCAGAAACCATATACGTTGAAGTTATCTAAAGTCAGGATTGAATTTCACCAAAAAATTCCAAGCATTATTGCTTTGCCATACCGTAAAAGCTCTATTAAATCCCCTCTCTCTACTAAGCCCCTTCTATCTATAGAGCCCCCTCTCTTTTAAGCCCCCCTCTAGGACTGAAGAAAATAAATAAGCACCCGGGGGCTTAATAGAGCTTTTACGGTAGTTGTCTTCGCGAATGAGTATACCAAAAGAAACATCAAGATAGAGTGGCAGGTCTCCAACCTTTGTGTTCTTACGAAACTAATGGTGTACACAAGCTTGAGATAACAAAATAGGCAAAAACAAGCACACAAAATTTAATGACCACACCCATAAAACTAGGTAACTGTAATGTGCAACGTTGTCGGATTACACCACCATTACACCACCTCTCGCCTAAGCTTTTAGAAAAGATTGGAAAAAGTGGTCTAGGTTTAAACATTTTTGAGAATCTAGAACCAATCGAAAATTACCTGCCCGAATAGAATTGTTCATTTCAAGTCACAGGTAGTCCAAAGTAATATGACTCAATCATGATAGAAATCCCTGAAAATAAAGCTTCAAATTTATATCTGGTTTGCCTCTGTTTTGAGTCCAGAGCCCGGGCGTAAGGGTTACGGAAATATCATGAAAGTTTACAACATTATGTGTAGAAAATATCAGCTGATTTGAAGTCGCTTCTCCTAAATTACTCGAAAAATTGATGTAAAATAAATATTTTCACAAATTATTGCTCGGGATACTTATCTACAATAGTCTAACAAGCTTTTAACGAGAAAGCAAAAAAATGTGAAAATCTTAAAAAATCAGATTTTTAGACCAGTAGACTATCTTAAAGGAGAAGATAAAGGTCAAGCAAACTTAATGGCTTCTAGGCACTGAACAAATGTTAGAGAGATTTAATAGAGTATGGTGATTGGTACTGTTATGTTCTCGTTTTTAATATTGAATTTATAAGTTTCTCATATTTATAAGCTTTTTGTATCTAAAGGTAGTTGCTCCAATCTTTATTTTTCAATAAAAAATATCTTAATCGCATATTTATCACTTCACAAAATTTGAGTTTATCACTCACAAGTTGGTTACCACTGCAAGTTAAAATAAACCCCGAAACTGTCTCGCAATCTTAAATTCTCTCCTGCTTCTGTTCAACATATTTTCGGAAATTCTAAATGTCCTTTATCAGTTTGACTTACCTTCCTTTTTTATTCAATTATTAAAGAATTTTATCGGGCGCTGAAAATTCCAATTCTGAAGATTCTGAAGGGCGTGATGGCACTGAAAATTTCAGATTAGCTTAAAATGTATCTCAAAATGTTTCTTGTAATCGTTTAGAACGTTTAACTATTTTGTGGCATATTGATTCATTTGCTGTGTTTGATTACATTCTTTTTTATAAGAACAATTTTATAAGAACACGAGCCTCAAAATTGGTCAAAAGTTAAGAACAAATTAAGAACAAGCTGAGGCTGAGCTTCTGCAAAATGCAATTCTGAACAACGTTTTTTCTCAACATTGAGGATTTTAGCGATGTGTGGGTGCTTTTTCGGTGAATATTCAAATTTGTCAGCAATTCAAGGCCGTGTCACTCACTTTGTTGGCAAATGAGGCCTGAACACCTCCTTAGAGCGGAAAAGCTAGCAATAGCACTGCTTACACCCTCTTGAATTAAGAACAAATTAAGAACAATCCAGCTTCAGATTTTCGAAAAAATTAAGAACAGTCAGCCTGAACATAAATTTACTGGTTCTTAAAAAAAGTGTGTAATTCAATTTTTTTAAATGGAATTCATTACTTTCTGAGGCCCCCTAGACCGTGAGGCCCCCCTCTCCAGGTTCCTATCCTTGGATATGTGCATTTGGTTACTTAAGAAAAACTGAGAGTTTGACAATTATTGGAGCATTTGCTGAAAAATGGCAGCATATTGCCAATCAATAGAGCTAAATACACAGAGCTGAATTGAAGGAATCATTACTCTATTTAAATGGCTTTCCTTGTGAACTTTATCTCAATCGAATCTCAATTAATCTTGCAATTGGTAACATGAGCGGACCTCCTCTGGTGATTTCAACCGGTGACACGAGCTTAGCAACTGATATTGACACATTGGTATCACAGAAATCTCTATTCAGTGGTGATATTGCCATCAGCTAGCAGAGCTTCCGATAACTGTATGATGGCTGTGCTAATACCACCAGCCCACTCAACTTCAATTGCTGGTATTCGCAATTGTCAAAGAACACACGTTCTGATCCACCCAGAGGCGTATCTGAGGTTACCCTGAACAAGATAGCTCGCGAAGTTTTAAGCTCTTGTCTTTTCACCTCTGAGGAGTTAATCTCACAAAACAAACTTGTTAAAAGGTTCAGTTGAGAGAAAAGAGAGGCAAGGTTATAGATGTGTCAAGTAATTGCACAGGGTTCAGTGTCTCAATCGTTTCTGAATGGGAAAACCAAGATAAGAACTTGGTGAAATTATGAATACGAAAGATAAGACAAGAATAGACTGTCACTGTCCAACTATACCTATACCCAATCGATCGAGGGAAAATCACCCTATGGGAATCTTGTACACCTTTGGTGAAAATCATATTGTTTTATCAGAAAATCAGTAGATATTTTTTGATTAGATGGAAAATCTCGTATGCTTTTTGCAAAAGTGAACTGACCCTAGCAATCGATCTTACCTTACAACTAAACAATATCAGAAAGAAGAGTACTATGTCCTGATTTTTCTTCGGTTTCGTGTTTGGAGGGTCTCAGATATTCAAGACATTTAAAAAACTGCAGTAACACATGCAAAACTTGGAGTAAATCGTTAAATCGTGGCTAATAACGGAGTAAAAGCAGATCTTGCAGATAAATCTTTTAATTAGTCTCATAATGACTGGTTTATAAATAAGAGAAACGTCAACACATATTTTCAGGAAAGTAGCAAAACTAATTTCAACATTATTGAGTTTTAATTTAATTTCTATTTCAAATTTGACCTTTTTTTTTAAGCAACTGTCTTTATTATGGTTTATTTTCATGTTCTGACAAGGAGTTTTCGCGTTAAAGTTGGTCGTAAATATGTAAAAAATAGAACCAACATAATTAAAGAGTCATAAAAATCATCAAATGTTAGAAATACGGAAGCATTTATCAAGATAAATCATTAAAGTACAACAATTTTGACTGGTGGCTGTAAGTTACGAACTTGTAGATACCAATAAATGGCGTGTTCACACCTGGCATTATATATTGCACTTTGGGCTTGTCTTTAATACCATATCAACAGAATCTTAGACAATTGGCTGGCAATTAACAAGCCTTATTCAATGTATATATGTTTAGTTTATATAGTTGGTCGCCAGTGACAGCAATGCCTTGTGAAACCACACTGAAAATGACCAATAAAGTAGTCTACTTCGGATAATCAATACAATATCATATGAGCGCACGCTAGGAAAAAGTCCTGTAATATCAGTGGAAAAATTTAGACAAGCTTTCATCTTTCTTCGGACGGTTTTCTTAAATTTTGAAACCCTTCCCCAGCAAACATATAAAAGGCGTTATGTGGGCGTGGCACCTTCATCAACCTTCATCAAGGTATTTGACCTTTTGACAGCAAAGTTTTCCAGGCTCAGGGTCAGTGGCATCTTTTTTAGATGCTTGTTGGGGAGACGAGATCGCGGCTTTATTGTTTAGAACAAAGCGTAAGTGGTTTGTCCGAACCAATTAGCTACGAGAAGTAGGTACGCACGCGCATTAAACCTGCTAGAACAATGCTGGATCTACGTTGTTTATTTTTTCAAAGTTCCCTCCTTGCCTATCTGTTGTGAAATGCAAAGTACGCATGTGCACCTACTCCTTTCACGGGGGGCTACCTACACCTTACGGACTTACCCTAACTCGTCTCCCCAACAAATGCCTGTAAAAGTCTCGGAACGGTTTAAGTCTAAAACCAGGCGTACATTGGGCGTGACCCACATCCTCTTTGCCATCCGACAACCATACAGAGCAAAATTGAGTGCAAATTGTAGAAATAAAATTCCAGCTACAGATATTTCCGTTTCTGCTGATAAACGAAAAAACTCATCACTTCGTATTCATCCTGCTTTATCGAAGAAAGAACTTGCATTATCCTTTAGGATACGAGTAAGATTCCAATACTGAATAGGGTTCATAAGCAGGCTTATAAAAATAGGATGGAGATACAAATGTCTATCATGATATGAAAGGGAGATGAATACTTCTTGAGCACCACACCACAAAGTGGAGTTTACATAACCAAGAACCCTCATGACATGGATGCCGGTGTAGTATGCTAATCGGTCCCCCATGCAAAAGTGTCCCCTTTGAGGCGATACGTATATGCGTTTCAGTAACCTTCGTGAAACGGGTAGCGTTTCAGTGACCAAGTGGTAATGGC